TATAGACTGGAAAACTAAGCCAAAGAGGTTAAGTGATTTGCACAAAATCACACATGACTTAATGGCTGAGCTGGAACTAAACCCGGGTCTCTAGCTTCTCAAATTAGTGTTCTTTTCACTGATCCGTGCTGTCTTTGCTTATCCATTCAATTAGCAAATGTAATTGAAATGACTCTAATTAGTTCGGCTCCTAAAGGCTTTTGTGGTTAGTGTCAGACTGGTAATAAGGTTTGTTTTTTTCCCCAGCTTTTGAGCCGTGGCCAAGTTTTATCAGTCAGCTATTTCAGAGTCTTGAAGTCATCATATTGAAGGCAAGATTATTTGAGTAGCAGGACACACATCTCTCTCTGTCTGTTCATCTAATAATCATGCCTTCTGTATTGCAAATTAGAGACTGTTCATATAGTGTACCAAATGTATACACAGTCATTAGACATAGAGCAGTGGCCAGCACAGTGGTGACATTCCAGCTATCACTATCATTGTGTGTTTTTTTCGGGCCTGTTAGCTTTGACATTGTTTTCCTATATAATTGAAGGCTTAGCAGTACTCTGGCAACCCAAGCATTTCAAGCAGATGCCGGGGATGCAGGGGGTTGATTGGTCACTCCATGAACTTGGCAGTTGCATGACTTGGAACTGCCAGTTCATGGGGCATGAAAAGCTTGGTGGTATGAAGCACCCTTAGATCTGTGGCATAATCGTTGGTGTCCCTCAGGGCTCCTTTCAAAGAGTTGTCTAGATGGAATTGAATTTTTTTCAAATGGAAGGTTCCTCTCAATTTCTAAGAGAACCTCTGAAATTGACTTTTAGACCTCACAGCTTACCGTGGTCCCGAAATATCTAGAGAGATGAAGCTGCGATAGAAGGAAAGGCCACTGAGAGTTATGCCACTGTTTTACATTGTGTTTACTTTATTTGGAGCCCTGGTAGCATATGGTTAAGAGCTCAGCTGCTGACCGAAAGGTCAGCAGTTCAAATCCACTAGCCACTCCTTGGAAACCCTGTGGGGCAGTTCTATTCTGTGCTATAGGGTCACTATAAGTCAGAATTGACTCGACGGCAGCAAGTTTGTTTTTTTTTTTACTTTATCTAAGTAAGGAATGAACAGATGGGGCTCTTTAAGTAACTTTTATTCTTGATACAGTATAGGAGTGGAGAATTATGACCCTTAAAACTTTTCCTTTACTTATTTCTTCATCTTACTGAGCTTTGTTTTTCTTGAGTAAAAAGAGGAATGGTTGCCTCTTTTTGAATCTCAGTATTTGAGTATAGGAAAGGTTTTCATGTAACTTACGTATTTCTTTGGAACCTGACAGAAAAAAAACCTTTTTTCCCCTAGAATTATTTGTGGTAAGTCCCCATTATATATCAAAGTATACATGTTGAATGTACCTCATTGTAGATTCTAAGATTCTGCATTACCTTCTGAGTGAAGTATTGAAAGAGGGAATATCTTTTATTGTTTTATGATCTGACATGTTTTATATCATTTCCTACCCTGTTCATGTACAAAGTGCTAAAATACTTAATTGTCTGAAATTTTACAGAATGACATGAAATTACTTTATGTTAAAACTGTATTTATCTAGAATTTGATTTAGAAACTGATAGTCTTTTATGAAAAATTGAAATGTGAGTACTTCTAGCTCATAATATTTAGGGTACACACTATATTTGGCTTTCCTATTCTTTTACTTTCATCAACTGCACATCAAAGACAAAAAGAAAATGTCATGTAAAACTTCCTCGACAGGAAAAGCAGAGGCATTCCCATTCCTAAGATGCTTACTTGTCACTTCACATTTTCTGGTAGAAAATATGTTCAATTTCTAATATATACGTAAATCATTCTATGGAGAAACCTTTACTTATCTGCCTGATAGTCCTTTGTCTTTTTTTAAACAAAGAGAGAAAAGACTTTATTTCCAGCCATGGCTCAGTTTTTTATTGAAAGCACTCGCCCTCAGCACATTGTAAGCCCCACTCTAGTCCCTAATCCCTTCCCGTCTTCCATTCCCTTCCACAGCATATATACTTCCCCTTTAAATTCTTTTTCTTCTCCACTTGATCTCCAGGTGTTTGATGCCTTCCTGGTTCCCCTACTTCTTTTTTTTTTAATTGTTATTTAGGTGAAAGTTTACAAAGCAAATTAGTTTCTCATTAAACAGTTAATACACAAATTGTTTTTTGACATTGGTTGCTAACCCCTCGATCTGTCAACACTCTCCCATTCTCCACCCCAGATTCCCGGTTTCTATTCTTAGAGTTTTCCTATCCCTTCCTGCCTTCTTGTCTTTGCTTTTGGGCTGGTGTGCCCATTAGTCTTGTATACATGGTTAAACTATGAAGCACATCCCTCATGCATGTTATTGTTGGTCCTATAGACCTGTCTAATCTTTGGCTGAAGGGTAAACCTCAGGAGTGACTTCAGTATTGAGTTAAAAGGGTGCCCGGGGGCCATACTCTTGGGGGGTTTCTCCAGTCTGTCAGACCAGCAAGCCTGATCTTTCTTTTTTTCTTTTTGTGAATTTGAATTTTGTTCTACATTTTTCTCCTGCTCTGTCCAGGACCCTCTATTGTGATCCCTGCCAGAGCAGTTGGTGGTGGTAGCCAGGCACCATCTAGTTGTTCTGGGCTCAGTCTGATGGAGGTTGTGGTAGTTGTGGTCCATTAGTCCTTTGGGCTAATCTTTCCCTTGTGTCTTTGGTCTTCTTCATTCTCCTTTGCTTCAGCTGGGATGGGACCAATAGATGTATCTTAGATGGCTGCTCACAGGCTTTTAAGACCCCGGTCACTACTCATGACAGTCAGATGTAGAACATTTTCTTTATAGATTGTGATGCCTACTGAGCTAGATGTCCCCCAAGACCATGGTCCCCAGCCCTCAGCCCAGTAGCTCAGTCTCTCAGGGCATTTGGATGTATCTGTGAACCTTCTATGACTTTGCCCTGGTCAAGTTGTGCTAACTTCCCCAGTATTGTGCACTGCCTTACCCTTCACCAGGGTATCTAGTTAGTGTTTTTCCCTTCCCACCCCTCCCCTTCCTCATAACCATCAAAGATTGTTTCTTCCTGTGTGGAAACATTTTCATGTATTTTTATAATAGTGGTCTCATACAGTATTTGTCCTTTTGTGATTGACTTATTTTACTCAGCTAATACCCTCCAGATTCATGCATGTTGTGAGATGTTTCACAGATTCATCATTGTTCTTTATCGTTGCGTAGTATTCCATTGTGTATAGGTACCATAGTTTAGCCATTCATCTGTTGATGGGTGCTTAGGTTGTTTCCATCTTTTTGCTATTGTGAATGCTGCTGTAATGAACATGGGTGTGCATACGTCTGTTCGTGTGACAGCTCTTATTTCTCTAGGATATATTCCCAGGAGTGGGATTGCTGGATCGTATGGTATTTCTAGCTTTTTAAGGAGGCACCATATCGTTTTCCGAAATGGTTGTACCATTTTGCATTCCGACCAGCAGTGCATATGAGTTCCAGTTTCCCTGCAACCTCTCCGACATTGGTTATTTTCTGTTTTTTTGTTTCATGCCAGTAATGTCAGGGTAAGATGGTATCTCACTGTGGTTTTGATTTGCATTGGGAGAAAAGACTTTAGAGGAGCTTTTGTGATGATTGGGGTAATGGATTCTTTCTATTAAAGGAGAATTTGAGTCAAGGAATGGGCTTCTTTTCTTTTCTGACCTCCTTTGTTGCTGACTGGCTGGCCAGGTATATCAAGGTGTATATGTGAAAGAAAGTGCAGGAGAGTTGGGGAGGGCAAGATATGAATGAAAGTGCATATACCCACATGTGCGTGTATACATACAGAGATACAAACTGAAAATGGACAGAGCAACTTTCCTTTACAGTATGCTTATGGTCATTATTGAAGCAAAAGTGAGGGTTGAAAATGAGCGTGCCCTGATGCCTGTTCATGAGTCTATCTTGTATAAATAGTTTCACATGAATTCTGGTAGCTAACACTGCCAGCCTTCATGGTGGTGCTCACAGTCACTGCAGGAAGTGCTCATGTTCTTGTCCTGACCTTTTCTTTATCTGTGTTTTCCTTTAGTTCTTTGAACTTATTTAATATTATTTTATATTCTTTCCATCCTTTCATTATTCTGGCTTCCATAAAGATGGTTTCTCTCTCATCGTCTTGCTCCCTTGAGTGGGCCATCATTTTCATTGTGTGTGTGTGTGTGTGTGTGTGCTTTGTGATTTTTTTTTTGGAGCCAGGACATTAGAATTTTACAAGGTGTTAGCTCTCTCAGTTCACCCTGAATACAGTGCTTTCGACAGTGCTGAATCCTGCAAGAAACTTATCTTTATTCAGCTTGTAGTTCCTTGCTGTGATCCTTCTGTCTGCTATTTCAGAATTCTTACAGGGATAAATATGGGCTTCTAGTTGCTTTTCTTGGTGCTTTTGTGGGGAGAATTGGAATCTTAGACCTGCTCATGCCACCATCTTCCCTGAATCCCTGTCCTGACCTTTCCTGATACAGGTTTAAATTTTTTTTTTTTTATCTGAAAATAGAGACTGGAGGCTGGTGGAGACTGGGGTTTGAGATATTTTGCTAGGGCATTTTGCCGCCCACCAAATCACTTGTGAATTCTTCAGTTGGGCTACCAGCCCTGTGGTACTAGAATGTTTTGCTTAGTCAAAGCATATACCAAAAAGTATGCTGTTTAAGAATCCAAACTGTAGGAACCCATGAGAAGTGTGTCTGTTCCCAGGGCTGTTGGGTTTTGCCCTTTCCCCCTCAGCTCCCTTTACACTCTTAAAGTAAACAGTAGATTTGATTCCATAGAAACTCCATCTGTATGTGTATAAGAAACGAACTCTTTATTTTAGGCAGTGAACTTTTTTTGCCTACAAGTATTCGTTTTTATTCACTGTCATGTTATAGGCATGCATAAAAAACTGGTCCTACTTGTACTCTAGAAGCTGCTTACATTTCTATTTAAATAATATGCCTTTGTGATTTTTTTTAAAGGTAGTGTCTTCCCCAGCAGATGTAGCTGAAAAAGCGGACAGAATTATTACAATGTTGCCCACCAGTATTAATACAATAGAAGTTTATTCTGGAGCAAATGGAATTCTAAAGTATGTATTTCTCAACTGTGGATATTATTATGATAGTTCATGAATTTTATACCTGTTAGAACTCTTAGAAAATTTCAATTGTGTTTATTAAACCTTTTCTGTACTGTTTTTCTTAAAGTGAATGGTATGGTTTCTCTATCATTATAAAGGGTTTATTTTTTTCACTAAAGTTAAGTATGTGACTGTTCTTCCTCCACTAACCCATTTTTGAGAATAAATTTTTTTGCTCCTGTTTTTTTCCTTTAACTCTTTTGCATTAAACTTACCCTTTCACTGGTAACCTGTTTAATAGATTTTTAAAGCTTGTATTTTAAACTGTAGAACCATTATATGCATAATTTTCTTATGGTTTATGGAAATTCAGGAAAAAGTTTCTATGAAAAATAGAATCAAACTTTGGAGACAGTACCATTATGTAATATTTTATTGTAAAATGAAACCTGTGAGAGCTGGAATGCCACAGGACAGCCTTGTTTTTCCTGGTTTTGTAAGTTTTCTGCCTTTGACAGGGTACAGCTTACTGCTTTTCTGTTGCAGCCTGTCAGTGGAAAATGTTTGAGTTTTCCTTTTCTAACGGGTTTCCACCTTATGCAGTTTCCAGCTTTTGCAGGTTTTACTGTATAATAAAAAGTTACTGTATGTTCTCTGGGTTAGTAATCTGTAGTTAAGAGCTTTGGGAAGTTCAAAGTAAAGGTTAACAGTAGCTCTTGAAGTAAAATATACTTTAGGTCAGAGTTTCATAGCCAGAACGTATCTTTACTTGGCTCTGAAAATCTTTTGGTTAATTGCTGCTTATTGCCAAACCCTTATGGTTGTGTTAGGATCACAGTGGTTGAATTCCCAACTTCATTTTCTGTTCTTACTGGTTCCTGTTTTGACCTTGTTTTGTTGTGGAATTTCAGTTAAGAGCTAGAACAAATTGGTAGGCCCTGTAGACTCATGAAGGGCTAAATAAAGTGTTTAACTTCATGAAACTAGTACATGGAATTTGAGGTTTTTAGAAATTGAATTGTTTTGGAAGACTAACAAACTTGGAAGCAAAAGGCACTTGGATATTAGGCAGAAAACTGATAAGATAAATGTTTAGATTCCAGGGAAGGTTGAAAACACTTATTTTGGATGGAACCCACAGGCCCACAGTGTGTGTGGTCCTGAGAAGTCCTAGCTGCCTCATTACCTAGTGTCTTCCTATTATGGCCCTGCTCTACCTCTCAGGGAAGAGTTACTAAAAACTTGTGTGAAGACACAGTCCTACATTTATTAATATCCTCTACTGAGGAATATGGTAGCTGGCTACGAGAACAGTCTTGGCCAGGGAGTGCTTTGAAGGAGTTTGGCTTTACGTTGAACTATAATTTGCATCTCATGGGTGGTTCTTTATATTCCCCAGGATTATTTCCCCACTTGCAATACATGTGTAATTTTTGAGACGATTTCCCATTTCTGTTAAAGATTTAAGATCTTTAAAATATTAATATCATAGAAGGCTGGTAAACTTAATTCTTACTTTTTAGGTTACATAAAGTGGAACTCCACGTATCGAGCATGCTATTTCTTTTCTGTGGAATATACACAGGCATTGTATTTGAACCTGATCAATTCATATGTCTGGAGTTGTTTAAACTGTTCTGTGTTCTATTTTTCTCTATAGCAAGATTTTGCTTCTATTTTTAGTAGTCTTTATTTCCTCCCCCCTCAGTATTTATAGTCAGTTTTACTTTTCCAATTATAACTATGATTATATGTTGTCTGGGTTAGCATATCTGTAGTAAGAACTTTGGAAAGTTTGAATTAAAGGTTAGCCATAGCCCTTAAATAAATTATAATTGAGGTCAGAGTTTCTTTGTCAGTGAAGATAGGCAGTGCCTCATAGATTATAAGGGAACCATCTAGGAATATATTCTATACTTATAGTACGAACAAAAAATGTTTTACTACAGAAATGCCATTTAAATATTGATGTAAGATATGATGAAAAGACATATGACATGTATTTATAGGGAAATAGTCTTTATGATATGTATATTAACCATTAAGAACATAAAGACTTGATCTAGCTGTGAGATTTCCAGGTTCATGTGTGTATTTTCCTTTCTACTTGTCTGATGTCTTATTTTGTCTCTAAAAAGTTGGCAGTTTAAGAGCAATATGCCACGCTGAAGCAAAAGGCTCGATTTTAATTGTTTATGTTCATTCTACCTGGTAGAAATGACATTTGCAATATTATTTGTTAAGGATAAGTAAATTACTTTTTTAAGACCCAGGTACTTTACAAACAAATTTAAATCCTATCAAATAGCCTTTTTAAAGTTAATAGGTGTTTTAAATTGCTTACATCTTAGCTTTACCTGTATTGTTATGGTTCGTATGTACTTCACCTGAAACCAGAATTTATACTATGTAGTTTAATAGGTAGATTTTCTTTCAGTTTGTTTGACAGAGTTTGGGTTTACCTTGGAATGTAATTAATTAATCTGAAAATGAATGAGATTTTCAGCCAGTACTCACTAATAATGTTTTTAATACTAAACGAAACACTTCTTTGATATCTGGCAGCTTTTAATAGATTCTGATTCTATGGGTGATTATATATGAAATGTTTATTCAGAGTTATAAACCGTAAATATTTTTATTAATATACTTAGGAACGTGAAGAAAGGCTCATTATTAATAGATTCCAGTACTATCGATCCTGCAGTTGCAAAAGAATTGGCTAAAGAAGTTGAGAAAATGGGAGCAGTTTTCATGGATGCCCCTGTTTCTGGTGGTAAGTGGTAGCTGAAATACATACATACCTACTTCTGTTTGTCAAAAGTAGCAATTATGGTTTTGTGGTACCTAGGATATTTCCAGTTATGTTTATAACTGTTGCAAGATTCTCAATTTCCTTACTAAAACTAAAAACAAAACAAAACTGACTTATGTTATTTAGTACTCTCAAAGTAGATAGATTACTGGTTCTGAATTCAGATAAAAGGATGTCAGTCTTGAAGAGCTGTAAATTTTTGGTCCAAACTGCTGTGGGTAGGGATAGATCAATTCCTAGAAAAACTTAACTTATCAGGACTGATTCAAGAAATAAGTAGCTTGAATAATCCTATAGCTATTTAAGAAATTGAAGCAGTGGTAAAGAAAAATAAAAAAATGTTTTCACTTAGGAAACATTAGGCCCTGATGATTTTAAAGATGAGTGTTACCAAAATTCAAGGAGCAGATCATCTCAGTTTTGTACAAACTTTTCCAGACAATAGAAGAAGAAGAATTATTTCTCCAACTCATTCTATAAGACCTGGGTAATTCTGATACTTAAACCAACTAAACAGTATGAGAAAGAAAGATTATAGGTCTATTTCAGTCTGAATATAGAAGTAAAAATAAAAAAAAAAAAACTATATTAGCAAACCAAATCCAACCATGTATAAAAGAGATAAAACACTAAAAAAGTTTTGTTTATCTCATGTATGCAGGGATGGCTTAATATTAGAAAATCCATAAATATGATTCACTGTATTAACATACTTTAAAAAATCACATGGCTATTTCAATAGAGAATGAGGAGATACACTAATAAACTTTTACAATTAGTGTAAAAGTTTATTATTATGTCAAGTATTGATTTTCAGATGGCAGTATTATAGGTCTTATGATTTTTAATAATTTCCAAATTTTCCAAAATTACTATGTAATCAGATAACATGTATGTATATATATATAACATATACATATAATGGTAGCAGTATCCGTATAATACATACACATATAATTGTAGCAGTATAGCAGTAGACAGTGGAATAGCAATTGTATTCCAATTTATATTAAACTTGATTGTGTTCTTTGACATTAAAAAGTAACAAAATATAATAACTCAGTTTTAATTTTTCATAAGGAACTTAATTGTCCTGTTGTAGGGCTGTTTTAGATCCCAGACCATTTTTGATATAGATGGAGGTATAAATAATTGTTAACTCTTCTAATTGTTATATTAAATTTGTTAAGTAGGATTTAGATGCAAAGATTTTACAACGTGGCGCAAATACTTTGATCATAAAATGCTAATAAATTGTAAGTTTGGTGTTGATGTAGCTTTTTGTAGTATGAAATTAATAAACTGAACAATTCTTTCTTCTTTGAGTGTTTCTTCAGTTGAATTTGAAAATTGGTATGGCACATATAATCTTGCTATTGGTTGATCTTCTTTATCTTTTGCTTTAAGAGTACAGCCCAAAATTAACACTTCATAATGAAGAATACCATTTGATTGTTTAATGATATTTTTTCTTTTAAAGTACAGTCTTATTTGTGAGAAAACTTTGAAATTACTCTTATTCTTATTAAGCTACTTTTAAACTCTGATTTGTAGTTTTAGTGTAAAAATGCTAATGTTATGTTTGTGAATATGCCTGAATCTGAACTGTACTGTAGCTTGAAAGCTTTAGTGTAGTGATGGTTTGTGAGAATTTATTAGTTGATCATTATGAGGGTGGCCAATATTTAATAGAAGCTTATTTGTATTAGTTTTCTCATTGGTGTTATTTTTATATTTTTAATATGGTAGGTTAAAAATGACTCTACTCTCTCAATTAAAAGAAAAGAGAGGAAACTTCCTGCATGTTAAATAGGCTGGTTTAAAAATTATTAATTGTTAATTAACTAAATAAAATTCAATAAAAGGGATATGGGAAAAACATGGCTTACCAAGATCGTTTTAGATACCCAAGATGGGCCCACAGTTGTGTGGAGATTCTATTTTCATTAGGCATGGAATATTTGAGATAATTTTGAGTGAAGACCTTGAAATTTACCCCCTTTTTATCCTTCTCCCCATACCCCTCATCTGTTCCGTATCTTAGACTTTTAAAAAATACATTCACATGTATTTTTATATAGATGCATACAAATACAATACCATTCTAAAAATATAAATGGGAACATACTATACTTATATGTTTATGCACGTATGTACCAAAACTGTGGTTTGCATTTTAAAGAGAAGTTTTTAAACCCAGATGAATTTAAAACTGTATAGATTTTGAGCAAGCGATTGGTTTCCTCAGTTCAGTCTTCCCTTCTATTTCCTGCTAATTATTATTCTGGAAAATAAAAAGAATCACTACTGTATCATTTACCAGCCCGTGTAGTACCAGATTGAAGATTTTTCCCAGGTTTCATTTTGATACTTATTAGATCTACTGTATAGTGGCTCCTTTATACATTGGCCTTATGACAAATAATACAATTTTATTTAAGTTCTATACGACCTTCTTTTAAAAATCCAAAGCAAATGATGCTTGAACTATTATAATTATATCCTGAAACCAATATAAATATTTTATACTTGTATAGTTACCACTTTATAATATTGGTTTTACTTTAGAAAGAATTTTGACATGCCTCAAACTGTTCAGAGCTTTTTTTTTGAAACTGCCAGCCTGTACAGGCCTCTATCAAAGCCCACATTATATTATGCTTATAGGCATTGATTGATTCTCTTCCTCTATTAGAATTTAAGCTTTTTGAGTGCGTGGAATAAGTCTTTATTTTATTTTATTTTTATTAAATATTGAATATGCTTATAAAATATACATAAGGTATTAAAGTATGAGTATACATTGAGCCAGCCTATGTGTACCCCTTACCCAGTTTAAGAAACATAATATTTAAAGTTCTTGTGTGCTTCTCCCTGATCCTGTTCTCTTTTCTTTTTGGTTAGAAGTAACTAGTATCCTAAATGTTGCGTCTCATTTGCATGATTTTCTTTATAGTTTAACCCCAGGTTTTTATCTCTGAACAGTAGTTTATTTTCCTTAATTTGGAATGTTAAAGCAATGGAATCATTCTGTGACTTGCCTTTTCACGCCATGTTGTGTTCCTGAGATTTTATCCGTGTTGTTGGCAGGGCCACTGGCCCACTCATTGCCTTTGTGAGAATTAGAAAGAGGCACCCTCCTTGCACTGGAAAAGCCTCTCAGGGGAGCAGAAGGCACCCTTGTATAAAGAAAAAGGCACTCCTTTCTCCAGACAGATGTAGCCCTGTGTCAGGGTTTGTGGCTTGGTAAGCAGAGTACGGGTTGAATATCAGCCCCTACTCATTCTCTTGGCCGGATGCCCTTTTGCAGTACATAAGATACATTACCATCATGTAGTTGTTATGTATAGTTCATTAATTTTGACTACTGTGTAGTATTCTATATAAATACATCACCCTTTATTTATCTTTTCTATTGTGATATACATTGGATTATTTCCATTTTTTTTTGTTTTTATATCACGCACATTCTTATATATTGTGAAAGTATGTCTTTTTAGTCTCTATTTTACCAGCACAATGCCTGAAATATAGTTGGTCTTGATAAATGTTTAAAAACTTGGGATGAGTTCAACTGGAAAATCAATCATGTGAGATAGACAAGACAAGTGGTGATATTCTCAATTTACCAAGGATGGAGGTAGCATCCAGAGATGTTCAGTAACTTATCTCAAGATTATACTTTGTGTAGAACAAAATTCTAACTCAAAAAAACAAAAACAAAAAAAAACCAGACTTACTGGTCTGACAGAGACTGGGGAAATCCCTAGAGTATGGCCTCTGGACACCCTTTTAGCTCAGTAATGAAATCACTCCTGAGGTTCACCCTTCAGCCAAAGATTAGACAAACCCATAAAACAAAACGAGACTGAAGGGGCACACCAGCCCAGGGGCAAGGATGAGCAGGCAGGAGGAGACAGGAAAGCTGGTAATGGGGAACCTAAGGTAGAGAAGGCGAGTGTGTTGACATGTCGTGGGGTTGGCAATCAATGTCATAAAACAATATGTATATTAATTGTTTAATGAGAAGCTAGTTCTGTAAATTTTCATCTAAAGTACAGTAAAAAAAAAAAGATTACACTGTTGGTCAGTGGCAGAATTGAAGGCTAATATGATGTTCTTTGTTTCATATTCCACTACATTAGGAAATACTGTTTTCTATAAAGTTCTAATTTATTCTGAGAGGAAATTAAGATTGCTAAATGGAAGAATGTCTTTTAATTGATAAAATCATTCTCATTATTTGATTAAGATATCTAATATTCAGTTTAGCACATTGCTACAGTAAAGGCCCCTAATGACTCATACCTCCCTGTATCCACAGCCTGTATCCACTCCCCACATTGACTCTGGGCTTGGCCATGTGACTTGCTTTGGCCTGTGGTATATTAGCCAATGTTACACAAGGAAATGCTTCAAAAGTTCTTTGTATGTTGAGGTTTGCCCTCTCTTCTTGCTGGAAACTCCTCTGCTGACACATACAGAAGACTTGGCTAGCCTGCTAGAGACGTGTTGTACCTATCACCAAGTGTTGGCATGAGGCCATCTTAGACTATCCAGCCCCAGTTGAGTTACCAGATGACTGCAGCCCACATTAGGGACCTCAGACCTGACCCGCAGATGAACTGCTCAGCTAGCCCAGGCTAAATTGCTCACCCATACAATTGTGACCAAATAAAGTTACTAATTTTGGGGTGGGTATTATACAGTAATACATAGCAGATGCAGCCAATATAATTGATATTTCCATAATTATGTATTAGAGTTTAATGTTATATATAGTATCAATCAGTGTGTAATATTTTTGCACTTCTGTTTGTTTAATATAAATGTTATAAACCCTTTTTGAAGAATTATTGTAATGCAGTTAGCATGAAGGCCAACTTTAGTGCCAAAGTTAAGTTGCTAAAGTTAGGTTTTGTTTTCATGCCAGTGCAGAAGAGTTATTATATTTACTGTAA